GACCCCCGGGGAGGAGCCGTGCACGGGGGACCCGCAGCAGTACCGGCTCTGCCAGCTCCAGGTGAGCACTGGGAGGGCCGGGCACTGACGTGGCTGGTGCCAGTCCCCATCCCGGCCCGTGGGCTCCATCCTGCCGCTCCCACAGGGCTGTCCCAGCGGCTCCGTGCCCTTCCGGGCCATGCAGTGCTCCCTCTACGACAACAAACCCGTCCTGGGCACCTCCGCCCGGTACCGCTGGGTTCCCTTCCACGGAGGTGAGTCCCGGGGTGGGGACGGTGTCACGGGGCTGACGGGGGGGGCCACGGCCGCCCCCGGTGTCACCCCCATCCCTTCTCACCCCGATCCATCAGCCCCCAACCTCTGCGACCTCAACTGCCTGGCCGAGGGGCACAACTTCTACTACAGCTTCGGGCGGGTGCTGGACGGGACCCGCTGCGGCCCCGGCTCCCCGGACCTGTGTGTTGGCGGGCGCTGCCTGGTGAGTGCATGGGGCTGGGACCCCCCCGGGACCCCCAGCCCTGACCCCCCACGCTGAGGCAGCGTCTGGGCTCCTGCAGAGCGTGGGCTGTGACGGGATTCTGGGCTCGGGCCCCCGCCCCGACGCCTGCGGCCACTGCGGCAGCGGCTCCTGTGTCTTCGTGCACCGGCTGTTCCAGGGCTCGGACCCCTCCTCCGGTGAATGAACCATTGCCCCGGCCCCCTCCATGGGTGAATGCTTTGGCTCTTGGCTCCCCTGTCCTCCCGTCCCCCGTCTGTGTCCCCAAGGCATTGCCTGAGTCCCCTGTCACCCCGTCCACCAGGGCATTGTCCCTGATCCCTCCCTGTCCCCAACACTCAGGGACAGGGACAGCGAGCTCGGAGCAGCCCCCTCACCAGGGTGATTTGGCCTTGTTGCAGAGAGTGTTGCTCCTCTGGGGTGGATGGGGGGTCTCTGGGGCACCCCTGTGGTCTGTGGGGTCCCCAGGGGTGTTCAAGGGTCCCTGGGGGCACCCAGAGTCCCTGTGTTCATATCCAATATCCATAGTGTGCTGGGCAGGCTGTGGGGACAGTGATTCCTGTGACAACAGACAGCCCTGGATGGCACCACAGGGCCATCACGGGGTGCCCCTGATGTCCCATCATGTGGGGCCCAGCTGGGTTAATGCCCCAGACCCCAGTCATCTATGCCCCGTCCCCTCCTGCCCCATCCCCCCAGGATGTCCCCTCAGGCCCTGCCCCAGCTCTGCCCTGACTCTGCCCCCCACCCCGACAGGATACTTTGGGTACATGAACGTGACCAAGATCCCGGCTGGGGCCACCCACATCAAGGTGACGGACAAGAGCCGCAACTACCTGGGTAGGACATGAACTGCCCTCCTCCCAGTCAGCCCCAGCCCATCCCAGCTGGTCCTGGCCGGTGCCAGCTGCGGGTCTGGGCAGGGCAGGGCAGGGCAGGGCAGGGGTGGCTGTGTCATTCCGTGCTGTGTTGTCCCTCGTTGTCCCGTGTTGTCCCATGGCTGCCGTGCCGCTCCCTCACTCAGATGCTGTTTTGAGCATCCCGGGGTCAGTGAACTCGCAAGCGCTCGGGGCAATTTTCCAGAGGCTGCGGCCGTGGGGTTTGGGAAGGGCCGAGCTGGAGTGGGGCCAGAAGGGCCACTGCACACCAGGACCGGCACCCCCGTTCCCCCAGCTCCCCTCCCCAGTGCAGCTGGAGCCCCGTCCCCCTCTGGGAGCAGGGTCTGGGGGCTTGGTGGAGGCTGGGGGGTTGCACACCAGGGTTTGGCTCCAGCTTGGGCCCGAAGCCAAGATCTTACAAGAAAGCAGATTCCTCGGAGCCCCGAGCGCGGCTCTCCCGGCCCACGCTGCCCTCCCCGCGCCGGGAGAGGCCTCCGGTGGGGACCCGGGCGGGGGGTCCCGGGGGCTGTGCGGTGCTGGGCCTCGGACCCGCTCGCTCCCGCAGCGCTGATGACGAGCGACGGGCGCTACGTGCTCAATGGGGACTGGGCCATCGCCTGGCCAGGGCCCTACGAGGCCGCCGGCACCCGCCTCACCTACACCCGCACCCCTGATGGCACCGAGAGCCTGGAGGCACCCGGGCCCACTGACCAGGACCTGCATGTGATGGTGAGGGGCAGGGGGGTCACACGGGGACAAGGGGCAGCCACCCCCAGCCCCCACGGCCCCCCCTCAGCCCTGCCCCTGCGCCCCAGGTCCTGCTGCAGGAGCCCAACCCTGGCATCGAGTACGAGTTCTGGCTGCCCCGCGGGCACCCCCAGCCCAGCCACGGGGACACCAGTCCCCTGCGGCAGCCCCAGCCCCGGGGGGCCGGCAGCCCCCCACCCCAGGAGCTCCCGCTCACCCCGGCCCCTGCACTGCCCCCCCAGCCCGGGGGCTCTGCCACGGAGCTGCCGCCGAGGAGCCCCCCGGACCGGAGCTGGGATGGGGGTGCTGCAGGTACCTGCTCCCCTCGGGGGTCCCCGCAGCCCCCCACAGCCCTGGGATTGCTGCTGTGGAGAGGGGGGTCCCGGAGAGCTCAGGGGTAGAAATGAGATGGGGGCCCTAAAATGGGCCCTAAAACCCCCCTCCAGAACTCTCAGGAGCCCGGTGTGTCCCTCTCTGGAGTCTGGACCCTCAACGAGCCCTCCCAGGACTTCGGAGAGGGGGTTTTGGGGGGTGAGAAGTCCCCTGCGCCCCCTAAATTGCTGCAGCTTTGTCCTCTCAGGGCGATGCGGGAGGTGCCGCCCGGCCAAGGGACGTTCCCAGCGCATCCGGCACTTCTGCCAGAGCGACTTCGGTGAGCGCCGGGACGGGAGGGGCTCGGGAGGGCGTCGGGGGCGGGACAGGGGTGAGAAAGGGGCTCAGGGTGAGCCCCCTCCTCACCCCGCAGTGTTCCACGGGCGGATCGTGGCGCAGCGCTTGGTGGGGCGGGAGACGCGCTACGAGGTGGAGGTGAAGGCGCCGTACCGGCAGCGCTCGCCGCTGGTGTCCCGGGAGTACCTGTGGGTGCCCAACACCTGCGGGTGCCCCCCGCTGCGGGAGGGCGGCGAGTACGTGCTGATGGCGCGGCGGCACGTGAACCACGAGCACACCCTGAACCGCATCCTGCTGCAGGACGGCGGCTACGCCCGGCCCTGGACGCCCCGCGAGGCCCGGCTGGTGCGGGAGGCGGCGCGGCACTGCCCCCAGCCCCGGCCGCCCTGAGCCCCCCCCCCCGGCCCCAGCGCCCCCCCGGGACGGGACCCCGAGGGCGAGCCCGGCGCTCCTGCCGTGCACCGACCCCTCCCCTGGCTGTGGATGGACCCCCAGGCCCCCCCCACCCCCGTCCCGCCCTGGGGGAATCTCGCCGTCCTTGGGGTCCGTGTGGCAGCGGCGTCGGGGTGGGGGTGAAGGAGGGTGGTAATTTATTATTTTTGCAGAAAATAAACCTGTTTATCCCCTCGCTCGCCGCGTGCCCCTTCCTGGCTGGAGCCGGCCCGGGGGGGGTCTCCTCTGTGTCCCCGCGGGCAGGGGGTCCCCGGAGGGTCCCCAGAGTGTCCCCGTGCCGAGCCCCCGGAGCAGCTCCCGCCCCGCAGCGTGTCCCTGTCCCCGATGGCCCCGTGCCAGGCTCTCCCCGCCGGGGTCGGGGACCTGCCGCTTATCTCCCTTCCGGCGGAGGCGGGCGGGTCCCCCCCTCGTGCCGGAGCCCCCTCGCCCGTAACCCAACCCGTGGAATGGGGGGGGGCCACCGCGGGGCCCACACGGGGACGGGACGTGACGGGGGGCACTGGGGCACCCTGGGGGGCATCGCCCGCTCGGGGCTCCCTTGGGGGTCTTGTGCCCGCGGGGGGGTGGGTTTGGAGCTGGTGCCAGGGAAGGGCTGAGACCTCCCAGTTCGTGTCGCTGGTGGCTGTTCCCAAACTGGGGTACTTGGGAGGGTACAGGGGTGGGTGCCCTGGGGTGCCCCAAGTGGCAGCTGCCAGGCCAGGAGGGTCCTGGTCACATCGGGTAGTTCATCACCCCGGGGCAGAGATGAGCCCTGGGACCAGCTGGGGCTCAGCACTGTCCCCGCTCTGTCGATTTGGGGCTGCCGGGGGTGGATTTGTCCCCAGGCCGGGCCGGGGGAGCAGGATGGGGAAAACCCCTCGGAGAGGCCGTGGGGAAGCTGTGCCCTGGTGCCTCCAGCTCTAACTCGACCTGCTGGGCTGGGCGGTGTCCCCAGGACTGTCCCTTGGTGTGTGCACAGACCCCAGCTCAGCCCGGGGCTCGGGGTCCCCCTGAGGAGAGCCCCTCTGTCTCAGCTGCCTTTGGAGACAAAGCTCCATCCCGGCTCTGTAAGGTCCAGCCAAGGGTTTTCACGGGTCATTATGTGCTTGGAGAAAGGTCTGGCTCTCTCCCTTAATTCCCAAAACTCTTCAGCTGAGCAAACACACTGTGCTCTGGCCAGCACAGCCGGGGAGGGGGGGACACAAACCCCCTCCCCTATGTCCCGGGGCAGTCCAGGGTCCTGGCGTGGGGCCGGTGCCCCCGGGAGGGCCCCAGCTGGCAGCTCTCCCTGTCCATCCCTGCCTGGTGCCACGTGCCGGGGCACAGCTGCCACCCTGCTGCTGCCAGTCCCCGAGGGACAGCGAGGGCCGGGGGTCTTTGCCTCCTCTCAGTGCCCTGGGTGGGGGGAGCAGGGTGTCTGGGGGGTGCAGCCACCCTGGGATCCCTTTTTTGAGACCTAAAAGTTGCTGATGGACAGGAATTGGAGCCCGTGGAGTGGATCCGGGCTGTCTTCCGCCGCCTCTGCTCCGTGGTGGGCTTGTGGCTGAGCTCCTGCTGTGGCACCACGCGGGTGCAGCTGCTTGGACACACGTCACATCCCGTCCCTCTGCTCCTGGGAAAGGGCAGGGGGCTCCCGGCCCCTCTGGAAGTGCTCAGGTCCCCGGGGGCGTGGGGGGGACAAGGTGGGGAGGGAGGGCCACCACCCCTGTCCCCGTGCGGAGCCAGACACGGGGTGGGAGCAGCTGCTGGGAAGGGAAATCCCCCTGCACAGAGGGTGGTCCAGGAAGGCAACAACCAGTTTATTTTGGAAGCCGGGTGAGATGCCAGCCGTGTCCCGGGCCGTGTCCCCGCAGCCCAGGCTTGGTGTCACTCTGTCCTTCCGGCCTGGGGACAGCAGAAGGCGCCTTTCCCGGCACGAAGGGCCACCCTGCACGTGGGGTAGAGGATGCCCGCCAGGACCAGGCTGCTGCAGGCCAGCACGGTGACAACCAGCAGCTCCCTGCGCAGCCCCCCCGGGCTCAGGGGGCCCCGGGAGGGGGAGCAGGTGTGGGTGAGCTGCTGGAAGGTGCGGGTGGAGGGGCAGGACGTGCAGTTGGTGGCCGAAGCGCCCTGGCAGGTGTAGCAGGAGGGGTGGCAGTGGGCACACACGCGGGCAGTGGCGGTGGCGCTCCGGGTCCGGCCGTAGAAGCGCGGGGGGCAGTAGGGCAGGCAGGAGCGCTGGTGGGCGTACAGGGAGCTGCCACACTCTGAGGAGAGAGGGTGGGATGAGCCCCCCCCGGGGCCCAGAGCACTGTCGCTTTCCCCCCCACAAAGCCTCACTCACCCTCACAGGCTCCCTCCTTGTCCCACCGGACGCAGCCGTCCGTGGCAGAGGCTGCGGAGCGCCTGGAGCTCATGTCCTCGTCCGTGCCGTGCAGGTGCAGGATGAAGCTGGTCAGCTGGCCTGGGGACAGGAGGGACGGGGCTCAGGGCCTGCCAGGTGATGGATATGGGGCTGGAAGCTTTGAGGTTGTGCCCCCTTCCTGGCCCTGTGCTGGCCAGGGAGGCCCTAAGAGCAAAGAAGGCGCCCTGTAGATAAGAAGGGCTCGTGGCTGGGAGGGAGAAGCCAACAAGTTGCTCATCCAAGTGGGGAAAGGAAGGAGAATGATCAGGCACTGGGTGATCCCAGTAAATGGGTGTCCCCCCCCAGGGCACCCACCTGTGTTATGGGCATCGCCCTTGTTCTCCAGGTGGAGCGTCCAGGTCCCCTTGGGGTTCTCGTCCCAGAAGTGCGTGGACATGAAGGTCCAGTCCTTGTAGCCCTCCTGGCTGGTGTCATAGGGGCTGGAGGAGAAGAGGAGAGCTGGGAGTGCCAGCTGGGGGGGGCTGGAGGAGCAGGATGTGGCCAAGGACAGCCTGGAGTCACCCTGTTCTTGCTCTAAGGGGGCACTGCCGTGTGGCAGAGGCCCAGAGGAGTTTTGGGCCCGGTGAGCCCCTTGCTGGGGGTCTCCTGGCCCCCGGGAGGGCTGTGGGAGCAGCCCCCCAGCCTCTGGTGGGTCCCGGTGCTCCGTGTCCTTACCGCATGGTCACCAGCGTGGACGTGGTGCCTGTGGGGCTGCTCAGGGCCACCACCAGGTCCCCCCTGCGGCTGTAGCTCAGGGACAGCTGGACCTGGACGTGCTCCAGCGAGCGGATGCTCTGGGAGCAGGAGAAGACATCTGTGGAGATGGTGAGCTTGGAGCCGATGTCCCTGTCGAGGACAAGCCGGAGGTGAGGGCGTGCCTTCCCCTTCCACGGGCATCCTGCCCTCCTCCATGGCCTCCAGGCACAGCCCTGTGCCCGCAGCAGGCACTGCGCAGCACAGGCCGCTTTTTGGGAGGCAATCCCTGTTCCTGAAGCAGGCACAGCAAGCCCCAGTGCGAGGCCGGGCCCGGGGGTGCTGTCCCTTACCTGGGGGCCTGAAGGACCTTGACTGAACACTTCTCCTGAGGCCGCGTGCCCGCCCAGGCCACGGCCTCCTGCACCAGCAGCCCCGCGTCCAGCAGCCCGTAGCCGTAGTAGTGGCTCACTGGAAAGCAGGTGCCACCAGGAGAGGACCCCGTGAGCCCCTCAGTGCTGGGAGAGCACTGGGAGCTGCTGGAAGGTGTCCCAGGGCCGGGTGAGGGGAGCTGGAAGGGCTGAGCCCTGCACTCACCCCTGCGTCCCACCCCGTTCTTGGCCCAGTCCTCGGCCTTCAGGTGAGCGGGTTTGGAGGCCCTGATGATGAGGTGCTGCAGGTCACGCCAGCTCAGGGCTGGGCTGGAAGCAAGGAGGATGTGGGGATAGAGGTGTCTGGGTTGGCTTTTAAGGGTGGGATTCAGCCCTTCTAACTCATGAGGTGAGTAAGTCAGCTGTCTGGGTCCGACCAGGTCCCCCCCCTCCTTCAGTGCCCAAGTGGGAGCAAAAAGACCTCTAGAGCACAATTCTCCTCCTGTCCCCTGCTCTCCCACGGTTTTGGGAGAAGATGCTGCCCCACCAGAACCCGGGGACACCTCAACTCTGCACTGCCAACCTCTCTGCCAACAGCCTCCCCCGCTTCCTCGAGGCTTCCCCTCTCCCTGGGGGCTGTCCTGCTCTCTCAGTGCCACCTACTTGGCCTCCAGTGCCAGGGCGACCATCCCTGCGGCCAGCGGGGCCGAGGCCGAGGTGCCCGTGTGCTTGTCAGTGCAGCGGTGGTGCAGGTCCGTGGTCACCTGGGGGAGATGGGGGAGGTCTCAGCACCACTGCCAGGGAGGGCTTCCCAGAGCTGGGCACCTCCAGCAAACGCTCCTTTTGTGACCCTTTGGGCTTTTAGGGGGGTCCATACAGACTCTTTACTAAAGCCGCCCTAGCCCTGCCCGGGTGAGGAGGGCTGGGATGAGCTCGCCCCGTGGGATGTGCTGGGATGGATGTGCTGGGATGGATGTGCTGGGATGGATGTGCTGGGATCCACCGGGTGCCCCAGGGGTCGTTACTCTGGCAGGGCTGTCACCACACTCACGATCTGCACGTCGCTGCTGGCCCTGCTGCTGTAGGTGGTGGTGAGGATGGCGGCACAGCCCTCGCTGTAGCGGGGCCGCTGCCCGTCGCCCAGGACGCTGCCCACCGACACCGTGTAGATGCTGTTGCCGTACCCGTCGCAGTTGCAGTCGTCGTAGTGGATCCCCCCGTTGCCCGAGGCCCAGATGAAGATGGAGCCCAGCCCCCCCCGGCCCTGTCGGGGAGGCAGAGAGGAGTGGGCAGGGGGTCCCGGTGCCCCCGAGGCCCCCGAGGCCGGCGCTGGGCTCACCTGGCTGACCCCCCTGTGGAAAGCGGCCGCCGCCAGCTCGCCCGGCCCGTCCACCGTCCTGCCGTCGTCCTCGGGGCCCCAGCTGGCGCTGTAGATGTGGATGTGCTGCGAGTGCAGACTGAGGGCCTGGGCCTCCACCACGTCGATGATGGGACCGTCCAGCATCCGCACGCCTGAGGGCCGGCACCGGGAGCAGCCGTGGGCACCAGGAGCGGCCGTGGGCACCGGGAGGGGCCGTGGCCGAGAGGCGGCAGCACCAGGGGAGGCCGGGAGGGCTCCGGGGGAAAACGGGAGCCAGGCGAGTGCCACGCCAAGGGGAGGGATGAGGGGCACCTCGACAGCCCCCCCTTCGCCCCCCACTGCCTCGAGCACCGTTCACATGACCCTGCCCTAAGCAGATCAGGCTCCTGCGGGGCTGTGCTGCTGCCACGAGCCAGTTCCCAAAGCTCCTTGTTAAGCCTTTTGCAATTAAGCCCGGGGAGTTATCCCGGCTTTTAACCCCCTTTGCCACCCTCACTCCTGCAGGGGCGCCTGAGCCTGCCCAGGGATGGTGCTGCCAGGTGTTGGGGTGGGCATTAAACTCCCGGGGAGCTCAGAGACTGATGTGTGCAGTGGTAACACTGCAGCACCTTCCACCCTCCTGCAAGCCCCCATTGTGGCCCCACCCGGGGTCACGCATCCTCCCAGGGTGCTGGAGCTGCTTTCCAACCTCCATCCCACCGGAGCGGTGTCTCACCTCCAATTTTGGCGTTGTAGGCGACGCCTGCCCCGCAGATCCCGTTGTTGGCCACAGCTGCCACTTCTCCTGCACAGCGTGTCCCATGCCTGGGGGGGCAGAGTGAGATGGGTGGGGGGGCCTGGGACAGCCTCAGCCCCCCGAGGGATGGAGCAGAACCCACCAGTTATTGTCCCCATCGCCATATCTGGGCTGGGGATCGGGGTCGTTGCTGTTGAAGTCGTAACTTGCCTGCGGGTCCTGTTACAGAACGAGGCACCAGAGTGAGCAAAGGGCCCCAGCAGGGCTGTGACAGCCCAGCACAGGCGCCTGGCACCCAGCCCAGGGCTGGCACCGCCGGGGGCCCTCACTGCCAGCCTGGGGGGGACGGGGGGGCCCCTTCGAGCCCAAATGTGCTTGGTCAGTCTGAGCTAAACCAAGTCCGGAGAAGGGAACGGAGCTGGGGAAGGGTCTGGAGCACCAGGAGCTGCTGAGGGAGCTGGGGGGGCTCAGCCTGGAGAAAAGGAGAGTCAGGGGGGACCTTCTGGCTCTGCAACTCCCTGACAGGAGAGGGGAGTCGGGGGGGTCGAGCTCTGCTCCCAGGGAACAAGGGACATGATGAGAGGAAAGAGCCCCAAGCTGTGCCAGGGGAGGGTCAGGTTGGACACCAGGAGGAATTTCTCCATGGAAGGGGTGGTCAGGCATTGGCAGGGGCTGCCCAGGGAGGTTTGGAATCCCCATCCCTGGAGGTGCCCAAGGAAGGACTGGAGGTGGCCCTCAGTGCTCTGGGCTGGGGGACAAGGTGGGCATCGGGCACAGGGGGGGCCCTGTGATCTTGGAGGTCTTTGCCAACTGCCATGATCCTGTGGAGTGGGGTGAAAGCAGCACAGCTTTGCTGTTTCGGTGACAGAGCCCAGCGTGGTGACTCACCCGAGGGTGACCCTCACAGGAGAGAGGAACTACAACCCACAGCAATTGTGTTGTTGCAAACACCCAGGATTTATCTCTCCTTCCTTGCTGAGCACGTGAGGGTTTACCAGCTTTACTGGCTTTGCAGCTTGCTGTAATTACACCAATTTGGGGGGCTCGAGTGTGTGTACAAGTTCTAACGTTTCCTCGACGTGAGAATTCACTGTGGGAGATTCCAAATCTGTGATCTGGCCCTGGAGAGGCCAAGTTCCCACCGCACAGTCCCAGGGGTGGGATAAAGGCACCGGCTCCCCCTCTCCCTGGGGACCCCCCACCCTGGAGGAACCTGTTCTTGCACCCCCTCGTAGTTACATAGTTGGCTGCCAGGTCGGGGTGATCCTTCTCCAGCCCATCATCCAGGATGGTCAGCACGACCCCCCGCCCCGTGTAGCCCCTGCTCCAAGCCATGAGGATGTTCAGGTCGGGACTGATGTCGTTGTTCTGGAAAACAGATTAGATTTACTCAGCAGCCTGGGAGTGACCTCCAGGGGTTTGTGCTGCCTCACCACCGCCAGCATTAGCCCTGTTTGTGTGCTGGGGCGGGCAGTGGGAAGGGCATTCTGTGCTCTAGGTGAGGATTAGAAGGGGAAGCAGCACCATCTCACCATGTACCACTGCTTGGGGAACCAGGGGTCCGTGGGCACCACGCTGGCACCTCTCTTTGTGCGCCTCTTCAGCGTCTGCTGCTCAAACCACAGCACCTGGGCGGGGGGCAGCGCTGTGGGTGCCGGGCAGAGCCTGCCCAGGGCCATGCCGGGGCTCCCCGTGCCCCCCTCCCTACCTCGGGGTCCCTCATCAGCCGCACGTGCCACCCCCAGTGCCTGCTCAGGGCTCTCTGCCGGGTGCCGCGGTGTCCCAGGTGGTAGTAGGGCTCTCCCTCCATCACCTGCGGGCACAGGGAGCTGCTGTCAGCGTTTCCAGCCCGGCTGGGGACACCCGCACCGGCTCCACACGGGTGGGGAGGTCAGGAAGGTGGATTTAATGTGAGACGACCATGGCAGGACCAGCAGAAAGAGTCACTGGGAGACAGAGCAGGGTTCTGGGGGGAGGGTGTACCCTGGGGGTCCCTTGCTCACCCCCTGCATGCTCAGAGGGGACACTGGGACAGATTCCCAGGCTGCCCCATCCCAGGAAGTGTCCAAGGCCAGGTTGGATGGGGATTGGAGCAACCTGGTCTGGTGGAAGGTGTCCCTGCCCATGGGACGAGCAGAGGGGACAAGTGAAGGGGACAAACAGTGGGGACACAGGGTGGGGATGAGCACGGGCAGCCGGGACAGTGGGACATGGGGTGGGCTGGGCCCACCGCCCCCGCCCAGGCCGCACCTGGCCCAGGTAGAGCAGCCCGTGCCGGCGAGCCAGGGCCTGGGCGTCCCGCGGCCCCGCCGCCACCCGCACGGCCCAGCTGCTCAGGTAGACGGGGGGCTTGGCGGGGGCGGCGGCGGCGGCGACCACCAGCCCCGCGAACAGCACCGCGAGCAGCCCCGGGAGCGCTGAGGGCGCCGGGACGGGCCTGGGCCGCGCCGCCATGAGGCCGCGGCGGCCGAGCGCCAGTTGCCATGCCAACGGCGTCGGCCCCGCCCCCGCCCGCCCGGCCTCGCCTCATTGGCCATTTTGGGCCGTCCCCGCCTTCTCATTGGCCCCGCCCCGCCGCCCTGGCCCCGCCCCGCCTCCCCGTTGGCCACGCCCCCCCCGCGGCCGCACTGCCCGGGGCGCGGGGTCGGTGCGGGGCCGCTCCGGGGCCGCCGCTTCGTCCCTTTCCTCCTCCTCCTCCTCCTCTGCCTCGCCGCCGCCATGGGCTCGGTGCAGCAGCGCCTGCAGCGCTTCCTCGACCGCCCCGGGCCGCTCGGCGACCTGCTGGGCCGGCTGGAAGCCCGTACCGGCGTCCAACGGCTCTACCTGGCCTCAGGTGCGACCGGTACCCCGCCGCCCCCCCGGTTCTCCTGTCCTGCCTCCCCACCCCTCCTCTTTCCTGGGGCACCCTGGCAGCCCCTCACCGTGGCTCTGGGCTCGGCGGGGGCACGGGGAGGGCGGGCAGGGTCCCCCCCGGTTGAGGGGTGCAGAGCGGGGCCGTGCTGAGAGGGGGCCGGGGGGTCCCGGGGGGTGACACCGCTGTCACCGCTCCGTCCTCGCCTTCTGCGGTCGTGGAATCCCGAAATCCCGCACCCTGAAACCCGCGGGGTCCGGGTGTCAGAGGCGTCAGACGGACCCTCGAGGCCCCCTGGCAGAGGGGGGTCCCCATTCTGGAGGAGCCCCCAAATCCTGGGGGGTCAGCCCAGGCACTGGGGGCGGGAGCTCGTCCCTGTGTCCCACCGGGAGTGTGGGGATCCGGCCGTTAACCGGATCCTGTTGCTCATTAATGAGGAACCAGCCGGATTCTCCCCGGGGAGCGTCCCCTGGCACAAAGTGCCCCCTCTGCTCTGACCCTCGGCCCTGTGCCCTGTCTGCCAACATACAACTGGACCGTCCACATGCTCTGAGTTGGGGTTTCATACCAAACCTCCCAGGAGGGACTCGGGGTTTCCCGATTTCCCATGTCCCTCCTGGCGCTCCCTCTGCCTTTGGCCTCCAGGTGTGATTCCCCGGCCCTTCACCTGCTGCAGGGCTGGTTTTTCCGCTCCGAGGGGGAAAACTGTCCATGAGCAGGCACGTGCTGCCAGGAGCAGGTTGTGTTTGGATGCGGTGCCAGTCAGGTGTCTTCCAAGCAAAACAATCCCGGGGATTTGGTCAGGCTCAGATATGAGGAACTTTTGGGGCAGGACAAGAGTGGAAGCACCAAAAAGTGATGGTTCTGTGCTCTGGATCCCTGTCCTGGAAAGGAGAAGCTGCTGCTAAACTAAAACCTCCTGATTTCTCCCTCCTCTGCCTCTGGAGCAATCCCTAATTTGTGTTTGAACCCAGCAAGGTCAGTTCTGCATCTCTGGAGCCCACAGTGACGCACGGGCTGGGGTTTGGAGCCCATCTCCGTGGCCTCTGGGCAGCAGCTGCCCCCTCAGCGAAGCCTTTCCCTTGGTTTTTGCTGTTACATAAATTTCTCTGGGGGTTAAAATCCTGTGAAATCCCTTCTAAGGCTCTTGGGGAATGAAACCCAGCACTGCCTGGACCTGCCTGTTCTCCTTGAAGGGAGGTTTGGGATTGCTCCAAAGCCACGTTGCTCCTGCCCGTCTCCTGGGAAAGACCCGGAGCCGTGGCAGCCCCGGATCGGGGCCAGAGCTGAGCCCAGGAATGCTGCAGCGAGCAGAGCCGGGATAATCCGCCCTCCAAGCCCCAGCAAGGACTTTCCTCTAATTCACCGGCACAGACAGGTTAATTCCCAGCTTTCCTCCTGCTGATGGAGGAGCTTTTTCCAGGGCAGGGGAGAGGCTGCCGGGCTGGGACAAAGTGCCCTTGGCTGCGCTCCGTGTGTCCCTGAGGTTTTCCTGCCCTCCGAGCCCCGTGGTTTTTGCAGCAAGAGCTCCCTGTCCCCACCTTCCCCATCCACCAGTTCCACCGATCCGGCCTCCTGCTGGTGTCTTGAGGGCTGTGCAGGCTCCAGGCGACCGAAACCTTGGCCTTTCCACTTTAATTTACCGCTCTAACTGAACAGCTGGGAAGCGGGGTTGGATTGCTGCTCCCGGGGGAGCCGATCCCTCCCGCCCCGGTGGCTGCTCAGCACGAGGAGCGCCCGCGGGAGCCGCGTCCGGGGAGCGCCGAGGAGGAGCCGCGGGATCCCGGCTCCGGGAGCGGGGCTGGCCCTTGGACAGGCGTTATCGGAATGCCAGGTGGCTCCGGGGCAGCCGACTTTGGACCGTGGGTGTGTGCCGGTGTGTGCCGGTGCCCCCGGTCCCGCTCCAGGCTGGCGACGGGGTGAAAGTGCTGACGGCTCCGTGGTAAAGTCCCTTCCAGGGCCAGGGAGGGGACAAACAGTGACAGGAGCAGGTCGTGGGGCACTCGGGGAGGAGCAGACCCTGCCACGTGACTCAGCGCCTCATCATGCTGGAGTTAATTGGGGGCGGTCGTTATCCCCATCCAGGGGGTCCTGGAATGCGCCTCTTCCCGCCCTGGGATGAGAGTCCTGCTCAGCAGCCTGGGCGGGGTCTCTCCCCGCTGGTGGCGGGTTCGTGACCGTCCCCTGTCCCCCGGCAGGTTCCGTGGCCTTCCTGGGGCTGTACCTCATGTTCGGCTACGGCGCCTCATTGCTCTGCAACCTCATCGGCTTCGTCTACCCCGCCTACGTCTCGTGAGTACCTGTCCCACCCCCTGCAGCACCTGGAGAGCGTTCCCTGCCCTTGGCTGAGGGTCCCCCTGCTCAGTGAAGAGGCAATTATGGCTGGGAAGCTCTTGAGGCCTTCCTGGAAAGGCTGGGACCGTGGCAGCTTGGGGTGGGAAGGTTTTTCCCCCGGGGTTTGGAGGATTTGGGAAGGAGGAGCCCAGCCCAGGACTGCAGCAGCCGTGCCCTTCCCCTCTCCCGCCGCAGCATCAAGGCCATCGAGAGCAGCAGCAAGGAGGATGACACCATGTGGCTCACATACTGGGTGGTGTACGGCGTCTTCTGCATCGCCGAGTCCTTCTCCGACCTCTTCCTCTACTGGTTCCCCTTCTACTACGCCGGGAAGGTAACGGCTGTGCCAGGGAGAGGGTCCTCCTGCCCGAGGGCTGAACGTGGAGGGGCTGATTGTGGTGGGCTCTGCCCCGTGGGGCCGTGGTGGGGCTGCAATCAGCTCAGATCCTGGTACCTCCAGTGAGCTCCAGCCTCGGAAGCTGCCACTGGACCAGGCTGGGGGGGCACTGGAGCAGCTCGGCCCCTGCCCTGCCACCCTCCAGCTGAGCCCCCTGTTGTCCCCGCAGTGCCTGTTCCTGGTGTGGTGCATGGCCCCCGTGCCCTGGAACGGCTCACAGGTGCTCTACCACAGCATCATCCGGCCCTGCTTCCTCAAGCACCACGAGGCCGTGGACAACGTGATCAGTGACATCAGCACCAAGGCCCTGGACGCGGCTTCCACCGTCACCCGAGAAGGTAACGCGGGTCCCTCCGTCCCGCTCCGTGTCCCGGCCAGGGGGTTTTCCCCGAGCGGGGCTGTGTGGGCAGCTCACTTTAACCACCACCAAGGCACTGTTTCTCCGTGCCCACGCTCGGTGCTCCCCTAGCGGTGACAGAGGTCCCTGCGAGGTGTCGCTGTCCCCTCTCTAACCTCTGTGTTCTCTTTGCGCCGCGCCTCTGGTCCAGTCCTGCAGACTCTGGCGAGCAGCAGAGCCCGGCTGGCGGCCGGGGCGGCCCCGCAGCTCAGCCTGTCCGTATGTAACAGCCACGGCTCCCGCTGCCGCCGCAGGGAGACGGGGCCGGGCTGTACCGGGTGCCCGCCATGCCCGTGCCCGGGGCTCGTGGCCACCGTGGCATCGGCCAAACCTGCAGGTCTGCAGGCGTGGCTCCCGCACAACCGGCCCCTTCTCCCGGGGCGTGGGTAGAGCAGGCGCTTCCCTCCAGCTTCTCCATAGCCAGACCCTTCCATGTGTCCATCCGTGTGTCTGTCCCTGTGTCAGTGTGCTCCTCACAGCGCTGCCAACCTGTGGCTCCCATCCAGAGCCCCCCCGGGTGCGGGGAGCAGGACCCTGGTGCCACCCCTGTGCTCAGCGGGAGGGGAAGGGAATGGGATGGTGACCGGGACGGGCTGGGCCAGGGACACCGGGCCCTGGGGACGGGCACTAATGCTGTCTGTATGTCTGCAGGAACCAGAGCATCCCTGAGCCTGGCAGAGGAATTGAACAAGATGAAGTGAGAGGGGCATGAGCACCCCCGGTACCGGCACTACGGCCCCGGTACTGGGACCGGCACCGGCACTCCCGGTACCGGCACCGGCATCCCCAGTACCGGCACCACAGACCCCGGTACTGGTACTATGGCCCCAGTACTGGCACCAGTGACTCCGGTACCGGCACCCCGGGCCTGGATCGTCCTCAGCCGGGATCCTGGATCCGTCCAAGCCAAGCCTGTCCCGTCCTCCCTATCCCCAATAAACCCTCGTTGTCCTCGAGCCGCCGCTCCCGCGTGTTCTGTGACACCGCGTGGCGCCTTTAAGAGCGGGGGCGGAGCCTGGGGGGAGGGCGGGGCCTGATCGGATGACCTCATCCGGGGCGTGGCGGAAGTGCGACGGGACGCGGCCGGAACGTGGCGGGGGTCGGTCCGTCCGTCCGTGCGCGGTACCGGGGGTCTGTCTGTGTGTCCGTCCGGGGCGAGATCGGGGGGGACTCTGTGTGTCCTGGGGGGCGGAGCGTCCGGTCTGTGTGTCCGGGCGTCTGTCTGTCTGTCTGTCTGTCTGTACACGGGCAGGGGGCGCAAGGAGGGGTCTGTCGGTGTGTCCGAGAACAGGGCGTGGGGGTCTGTCTGTCTGTCTGTCGGGAATGGGCAGTTAGGTGGTTCTGTTCTGCCTGTACTGGGGGGGACGGGAGAGGGGGTGTCTGTCGGTCTGGTGGGGAGGGAACTCGGTCTGTCCACGGGGGGGGGGGAGGGGGTCTGGGTGTCTCCCCGGGGGGGTCTGTCTGTCTTGAAGGGGCAGGGAGGAAAGGAGGGATCTGTCTGTCTGTTTGTCCCGGGATGGAGAAGGTGGAATGTTCTGTCTGTCCATCCTGGGGGGGCAATGAGGGGGCTCTGCCTGCTGGGCTGGGAGGCACCGGAAGGGGGATCCGTCTGTCTGTCCAAAGGGCAGCACGGAGGGGGTCTGTCTGTCTTAGGGGGATAAGGAAGAGGAGGGTCGTTCTGTCTGTCTGTCTGTCCGTCTGGGGTGGGGGCACGCAGCCCCCTCACCCAGCCGACCCCCCCCTCCACAGCCCCCCCTACATGACCCTCGCCCGTGATGAGCTCCAAGGCCAAGCGGGTGCTGCCCACCCGCCCTGAGCCCCCCAGCGTGGAGCAGATCCTGGAGGACGTGCAGGGCACCCACCCGGCCGATCCCGTCTTCGTCCTCCCCGCCGAGCCCCCCCTGGACAACGGCCCCGCTCCAGGTGAGCCCGGGATGGGCAGGGGGGCATGGGGAACCCCCGCTCGGTGTCCCACTGACCCCCCCCGTGCTCCGCCAGGCTCCCCCGACCCCGCGGCCGAGGAGCGGGAGCGGCTGTACCAGCAGAGCCGCTCCTACGTGGGGATGAACCAGCGGCTGCAGGAATCCCGGGAGCGGCTGCGGGAGCAGCGCCGGGAGCTGGAGCGGGCGGGAGCGGAGCTGGAGCGTGGGATCGCGGAGATGAGGGAGAAGGCGCTCTGAGGGTCGGGGTCGGAGCCCCGACTCCTCCCGGACTGTGCTGGGGCACCTCGGGACGCCCCAGGCTGTGGTTTCGCCTTCCCAAATCGGGGCGGAACCGTCCGCCTTGTGTTTAAGGGATTTTGCCGTGGGACGTCCCCGCCGTGCCAGGGCCTGGCTCTGCCACCCCGGCAACGCTTCCCCAGGGAACAGAGGGATCTGCCGGGAAGGGCTGCCCCACACGGTCCCAGTGCAGGAACGAAGGCTCGGACCCCACACTTGCTCCCTGCACTGGCTGCCACGTCCCCCGTGGGTGGCACGTCCTCCGTGCCCTCACACCACAACTTCCCCTACGACTTCTCCCTCTGGTACTTCCCGGAGGACGATCCCGTCGCCTCCCGCATCGCCCAGCGCCTCAGGCAGGAGGGTTTCCGGGGCTTCGCGGAGCACCAGGACCAAGTGGCCGGGACGTCCGTCATCCTGACGGCCCTGGAGGTCATCGAGGCCAGCCGGGTGGCCATCCTGCTCCTCTCGGCCCGCTCCGTGGGCGACCCGTGGTGCCAGCGCGTGTCCCAGTGGAACCTGCTCCACGTCATCCACCGCTGCGGGACCAGGGTGGTCCCCGTGTGCGTGGGGGTGACGAGGGCCCAGGTGCCCTCGTTCCTGCGGCACCTCGTCCCGCTGGACTACCAGAGCGAGTTCTTCTTCGAGCGGCTCCTGGCCAGCCTGAGAGCCCGCCCGGGCAGAGGGGTCAGGCGGGTCCCGCCCAAAGGGACGCGCTGAGGGACCACCGGGGAGGGTTGGCTGGGGGCCTGCACTGGTGGCCCCGTGGTGATGGTGGTGGGAGAACTGTCCCTGTTTTGCTAATAAAGGTGGTGGGAACGGATCACCCAGTGCTGCGGATCGTCATAACTCTCACAAACCCCCCGTTTTGGTAGAGCTGAAGGTGCCGCTTTCTGTCTGCAAAGCCGAGCACCGAGGGGGCTGTGGGTGTTTCCCACCCCCACAGGTGTTACCCTGTGGGTGCCTCTTCCCCTTCCTGCCCCCCTTAGCAGGGTCTGTGTCCTGCTGCCACCCTGCTCCGCTGTCACACGGGACGTGGGGCTCCTCTGACACCACACCAGGACCTGGAGCAGGCAGGAATGGGGGCGAGGGGCTGCCTGGGGCCACTGCTGCTGCTGCTGCTGCTGCCCCTGCCTTCGGGTGAGCAGCGGGGTGGTGGGTCCAGGGTGGGTCCAGGGTGCCCAGCGGGGTCTCGGCGTCACTGGCCGGGGTGGTGGCAGGTGCTGGTTGGGGGCCAGGACAGGATCTCCTCTCCCCACAGCATGGGCCTGGCTCCAGCCATCGATCATCGGGGGACACGAGGCCAAACCCCACTCCCGGCCCTACATGGCGTCCCTGCAGTTTGGGGGGGTCCACGCCTGCGGGGCAGCGCTGCTGCACCCGCGCTGGGTCCTGACGGCCGCCCACTGCCTGGCCCGGGGGTGAGTCCGGGGCCACGGGGGGCTCGGGGGGCTCCCAGTGACCGGCACCGGGCTGACACCGGGTCCTGGTGTGGGGCAGGACATTGGCCAACGGGAGAGTGGTGGTGGGGCTGCACAGCCTGCGGGACCGCGGGGCGGCCACACAGACCCTCCCCATCCGGGCAGCCTGTCCCCACCCCGGCTACGACCGAGGGACGATGGAAAACGACCTGCTCCTGCTGCAGGTGGGGCTCGGGAGGGGTCTGCCGGGGGGCGGGAGGAGCGGGAGCGTCGGCGGTGCCGGGAAGCGCTGCCGGGGAGGGGTTCACACGTGTCGGTGCAGCTGCGCTCGCAGCCGGGGCGAGAGGCTCGGTGACATTTCCTCTTCTCACCCCCCGGAGGTTTCACACCTCCGTAACGCCTCCCCGCTCCCGTGGGCGCCGCATCGGCTCGGTGCTGCCCCTCAAGCACCCACCTGTGCTGTTGGGGTGCTCTTCCTCAGCCCCCCCCCGCGCCCCTGCAGCACGGGGGCACCCCCCTTGGCTCCTCACCTGCAGCATTGGGGTGCTCTCCCTCAACCATCCACCCACGGCATCGGGGTGCTCCCTCTGGAGTGCCCACCCAGGCGTTGGGGTGCTCCCCCCGCAGTGTTGGGGAGCTCCCTGCGCTCCCCCCGGCCGTGGTGGGGGGGTTCTGACGCTGCCCCCCCGCCCGCAGCTGGAGGGGACGGTGACGCTGGGCCGGACGCGGCGGCTGATCGGGCTGTCGGGGCGGGGGCCGGCGGCGGGGGCCGCCTGCAGCCTGGCGGGCTGGGGGCTCCGCGGGCGCGGGGGGCTCTCGCCCACCCTGCGGGAGCTGGAGGTGAAGGTGATGGACCCGCGGATGTGCAACAACAGCCGCTTCTGGGACGGCGGCATCGCCCCCACCATGATCTGCTTCCAGGGGCAGCCCCGGGGCTCAGCCCCCGCCAAGGTGAGCGTTTGGGGGGCCGAGGGTTACAAAGCTCTGCCCACCCCGAGCCAGCACTCCCGGGTGTGGGGGGCTCCGGGGGGGAAGCTCACCCCGAGCACAGAGGCAGGATGTCCCCCCAGGCGTGGTGGGGGTCCCCGCCCCTGGTTGGGGTGCACTCTCTGGTGTCACCCCTGTCCCCCAGGGAGACTCGGGGGGCCCGTTGGTGTGCGGGGAGCGGGCGGCGGTGGCCGGGGTGATGTCCTTCAGCGGCCCAGATGTCACCGACCCCTTCAAGCCGCCGGTGGCCACCTCGACCACGAAGTACAAGAAATGGATCCAGAAAACCCTGCGGAGGAGCTGCAAGTCCCCCCGGCCCCCAAGAGACTGAGCACCCCTTCCTATTTACACAGGTTGGCTTTTAATGGGAATACTGTCCAGAGTCCAGTAAAATAACATCCTTAGTACATAGATACAGTGCTGGGGGAGCAGGGCACGGCACAGCCCGGCGGGATTGTCCATGGAGGAGGGGGGCAGCGGGGCTGGGGGAGTGGGATTGGGCAATACCGGCCTTCCTGCCACCCTGTGCTCCGTTACAGCACTCAGGAGTTGGGACACATGCTGCCCCTGGGATTTTCCCCCTTTTCTTCCCCTGCCAGAGCGGGGGTCTCCAGGATGAGCCTGTCCCCATGACCCTGGTGTACTATCCCTGCAGCCCCCATGGCTCTGGTATGGGGGGACTTATGGGGGCACATAGGTCACCCCATCCAAAGCAGGTGGTGATGGTGGGAGGACTGGGAGATACCCAAGGGATCAGGGAGCACCTGGATTAGGGGGTCCCTCTGCAGCCCATCCCAATCCCAGGGCCGAGGCACTTCCATCACACCCCAGTCTTGGCACCTGGGGCCAGCTGGCAGCAGGATTGGGGTGTCCCGGGGTTTTGGGGCTGGGAGCCCCCCGTGGGCGTAATCCAGTCCTGGATGGATTCGTGTCCACATCCACAAGGACACACCGGGATCCTGGCTGCGAGCTGGGACAGGGATCTTCCGCCCTGGGGAATGGGAAGCTGGGGAGCTGCAGATGGAGGGGAGGGACCCCAGACCCTTCCCTGGGGGTTGGTCACCCTGGTGCCAGCTCAGCACCCTGTCCCCTCCCAGGGCAGCTCCCCAGCCTGGTGACACGACCCTGCAAAAAGCCCCTTGGGATGAGCCCATCGGGATCCCAAACACCCCCGTGAGCCCCTGCCCGGTTCTCCCTGCACCATTTCCACCCTCCACCGCCTCGGACCAGCGCAGGGACCTCGGCTGCTGGTCCCTCCAGCAGCACAAATAAGGGTCCTGGGCCCCCTCACCCCCGCAAAGCCTCTCCCCTGCGTGCCCTTCCCCCTGTTAATAAATGAGCTGTGACCGCTGGCAGAGCCAGTGTTGGTGCCAGAGGAGCTGGAGCACGCAGGGCTGTGCCTGTGCCAGGCTGTGCCGTGCTGGCTTCCCGGCATTTGGGATCAGATCCTGGTTCAGATCCCTGCCCGTTGTGGGTGAGGGAGATGGGGGGATGTGGGGACATCCTCATCTTGTCCCAGCTTGTCCATCAGCAGGAGGAGATGGTCCATGAGACTCACCCCAGGCTGAGTTGTCAGCCCCAAGCCTGTCCCCAGCCAAGTCCAGTCCTTGGCACTGGGAATTGTGATGCTCCAGCACAGCAAGACCCCAGCGGGGCCGGCAGCGGGTGGGGGGTGACTCACTGGTCCCCAGCTGTCCCACATCAGTGTGTGTGTGTCCCCAGTACAGTCCTGCTCAGCTCCCGCGGGCTGGGAGGGGGTCACAGGACCCTCACTGGGGCCTCATCCGTGGCAGCTGCTCAAGCTTGGATTTTCTCCACCGCCTTGTCGGCCACGGCCGTCACCGCCATGGGGCTGGGGACGTAGTTGAAGGGGGTGACACGGGCGGCCTTGCTGGGGGAGCCGTGTCGGCTGGCGGGGAAGGTCCCGGCGGGCGCCTCGTGGCCGAAGGAGATGGGCAGGGCAGCCTTGGCGGGCGCGGGGGCTTCGCCGTCGCCGGTGACACGGGGGTGAGGGGGTCCCTCGCGGGTCTCCAGCGTGGGAGAGGTGCTGGAGTTGGTCTTGGAGGCGGCGAAGTCCTCGGTCTGCACCACGGCGTCGCTGGTCTTCCTGGGGCCGGGGGCGCCGGGGGGCTCGTCCTCGCCGGAGCCCGCCAGCGGCAGGGCGGAGGAGGGCAGCGTGCTCTTGAGGATGTGGGGGATGTCTTCGTCCCGAATCCTCCGCCACGTGCCCTTCATCACCACCACCGGCGGCTTCCCCGGCTGCCCCCCGGGAGCCGCCTCGGGCTGCCGGCGCCGCGCCGGAGCCTCGGAGCGCACGGAGGAGGAGGAGGACGGGCTGCCCGCCCGCCGCGCCACGCTGATGTTGGGCGAGGACGAGTATCGCTTGAAGGGCTCGGCCGCGGGGGCGCTGGTCTTCACCGGCAGCCGGGACGGGCTCTCGGAGCTGGTCCTGCGCGGCGGCTTCGCCCCGGCGCCGGTTTTGGCGCCGGGCTGGGCTCTGGGGGCGAGGGGCCGCGGGCCGGGGGATGCCGGCTTGGCCGCCTTGAGCTCGTCGCAGCGGGAGGAGCAGAGGAACACGGCCGGGAGGGCGGCACGGCTGCGCTGAGGGGACCCCCGGCGAGGCAGCGAGGCCGAAGGGGCCGGCGGGGCCAGCTCGGCGCGGTGCCGCAGCAGCAGGCTGGAGGACTCCTTGATGAAGGTGAGCTGGCGCAGGAAGCCGGAGCGATCCGAGTCGCTCCCGCTGGAGCGGGCGGATGACATCCGCACCAGGTTGAGCCGACTGCCCCCCGGCCCCCCGGCCCGAGCCTTGGAGCCGTCCACCTGCTCCTCCAGCACCGGCATGGCCCCCCGGCCCGGCAGCACCTTCCTGCTGGGCTTCTGCATGAAGGGGATGCGCACGGGAGACTTCTGCGTCTTGGACTGCTTGGGGGCCGGGGATTTGGGGGTCGGGGCCTTGGCCGGGGGTCCTGGCGGGGAGGACGAGCCCCCTGCCTTGCCCGCAGCTGGGGTGCCTGGCTTGGTGAGCTGGGAGGGCGACGGCAGCTTCTTGGGGCCGTGCTGGGAGGGGGTGGAGGTGCGGGAGGAGCCCGAGGAAGGAGGGCCCTTCCCCATGCGGGCAGGCGGGGTCGTGCTCCTCTTGGGCAGCGCCAGGTCCCCGGTTTCGGGGGCCTTGCCCAGCCGGTGCAGGCTCCGCGAGCGCTGCTGGCTCAGGGAGAGGTTCTTGGCTGGCGGCGCCTCGGGCTTGGCCACCGGGGTCTTCTTCGGGGTGGCCCGTGGGCTGGGGGCATCCTTGGCCAGGCTGGGCATGTAGATGACGGTCCTGCCACGGAAGACCACGGGCAGGTTGGGCACCGGTTTGGCGGGTGCTGGGCTCCGCTCCGCCCTGGCACCGGCACGGCCGGCGGGACGGGCACCCGCCGTGTCCTTCCGCTCCGGGCGGCCCTTGCTGTGCTCCCTCCTCGCCGTGTCCCGGCCGGATGCGCTGCCGGGCCGCTGCTTCTCCTGCCTGCCCAGGGAGAGCTGCAGCGTGGAGCCCACCGAGAGCCCCGACATGAAGGAGAGGATGGAGTCGGACTCAGAGGAAGGCTCCCGCGAGAGGGAGGCAGCAGCCTGGTGCAGCCAGGTGACGATGGAGTTGGCTCCCTCCTGGATGGCCTGCCACTCCACACTGTCCAGGTCAGAGCCCCGGTCGGAGCCGGCGTCCTCGTCGGGGTGATGCCTGACCTCGGCTTTCCGCTCCCTCCCGCCGGTGCCCGGCGGCTTCTGCTTGCGCTCCAGCCCCCTGCGGCGAACCGCGGGCCGGCGGCGCTTGGGCATGGCCGAGCCGATGCACTTCTGCAGCAGGTCATCCTCCGAGTTGAGGCTGGGGGAGCTGGGGGAGCCCCCCTGCTCCTGCCCCACCGCGGCCGACCGCGGCCACGTGGCTTTGCCGCAGGGCTGGCCCCGCTCCTCGCCGTCCGAGAGGTTGGCGTCGCTCAGGGAGCTCATGGAGGAGCTGAGGGAGTAACAGGGCGGCGTCTCGTCGGCGATGAGGTTGTTCTGCGGCTTTGCCTTTGCCGGGCGGGGACCGGGCTCGGGGTCCCTGCGGGGGATGGAGCCGCCTGAGCGCTCCCTCCGCGGTGCCCGGCCGGGCTGGGCTCTGCTGCCGGGGCCCTCCCTGCCCGCCTCGGGCAGCACGTCCAGCTCCGGATCGTAGAAGCAGTAGACGGCTTCCTCCGTCGGCGTGGTGTGGCACAGCGACTGGAAGACGACCCCGTCCTCCTGGGGGTCATCCTTCCTCCCTGGGGCACCGCTGGCCCTGCCCACCCCCAGCTCCAGGCTGGCTGAGCTCTTCGGGGGGGTCTGGCCCCGCTTCCCCTCCCCACCTTGGCCGCGGCCCGGCCCCGCTTTGCCCTTGCTGGCAGAGCTGATCCTGGCGGGCGCCGAGCTGCCGGAGGCGGCTCTCCTGGCCGGGATGGTGCCGCCCTCGCGGCGCCCCTCGGGCAGCGGGTGCTCGGCCTCCTCGCCCGCCGGGTAGCGCAGGGTCTCGTCACTCAGCGAGGCGGCGCTGGAGAAGTTGACGGGGGTCCCGTCGGCCGAGTCGGTGAAGGAGTCGTCGTCCTTGAAGAGGTCGCGGGCGGCGGCTCGCAGGTGCCTGGGGACGCCGGGGTGCGCGTGGGCCGGCACCAGCATGTACACGGGGACGTGCATCGGCTTCTTGGTCTGGGGGTGCAGGACCTGGCCGGACAGCAGCGAGGTCTTGACCTTGCGGAAGCGGGAGGGCATGGCGGAGCTGATGCACTCCTTCAGGATCTCGATGTCGTCGTCGTCGGGGGGCTCGGGGCGGTCGGCCCGGCGCCGGCCCTCCAGGTACCGCTCCTCCCGCCGCTCCTCCCGCTTCTCGTGAGCCGCGAAGTTCAGGCTGTTCTTCTCCGGGAAGGTGGGAATCAGCTTGAGCTCCACATCCTTCTGGACATAATGCTCATGGAGGGGCAGGGCGCTCAGGCTGGAGGCGCACGAGAAGTTCTCGTTGGGTTTCTCCACCGTGAAGTAGACCATGGAGTCCAGGTCCTGAGGCAGCTGGAAGCGTTCCTTGAAGTCTGTGATCTCCATGAACTTCTTGACGTTGTTCTCCCACTGGATGTTGAACTGGCTGGTCTCCTTCTCGGGCTGGCAGCCCAGCTCGAAGAGAGGGGTCTTGCTGCGGCTGGGGGGCATGGTCTGCCCGGGGCTGTCGGGGAGCTCGCTGGGGCTGATGGTGCCGCTGATCATCTCGCTGCACGGGTCGCTCTGGATGGAGCTGGCGATGGAGGGGCTCTCGAAGCTGCCCAGGGAGCTGACGGAGCTGCAGCGGCTCATCACCAGAGGAG